TTTTTGGGGAAATGATTCAGTGCAATTTAATCAAATTTTAAAGTTGGATAAAATGAGCTGATTTGACGATGCCGTCAGTTATTCGAAAATGTACACATTCACACGAAAACTCGATTGTTTCGCATTTTACATCCAATCTACAGCTTATTTAATATAACATCATCTTACCATCCATATTGCTGTACTACAAAAGGGGATTGCAGTCCTGAAGTTGTTGCATCGCTTCCATAATAGCGATGTAACTTGGCAACTTAGTCAATACATCCTGATAATGATTGTTTGCAAAGCGTATCTCAAGGTTTCTCTCTTTCCATTTCATTGAAATACTTCGCGTAAGAGATCTTTGTTTAAATATAAGTCTACAACCGAACCGTGAACCAAATGTAAGAGGAATGTTTCTAGTTTAGAAACATGTTTCTCACGTGCAGAATAACGCTAATTACTTCAAATTGAGGTCTACTGAATGAAAACGCAACAATAAAACATTGGACTATGAAACTCATGCCTACAGGAACTAAGGTCGTGTGTTACATATACGAAACAGAAGCAAACAATTATCTAACTCCGATCATAATTTAATGTATCATAATTTAATGTTTCATGGTACTTCGGGGGATAAAGCTCATTTTAGGACAAAAAAAAAAAGAGCGAAAGATCTGCAAAGGGCATAGCCCATCAGATATCATTGTAGACGTGCGACAAAGAAAAGTGTAGTGTTTGAATATTTGTTTTTTTTTAAAGGAAGTTTTATAGGGGTCAGACCTGGAAAACCACAACTTTCGCTGACATGTTTTTAAAATCCAACGTTCAACAACTTTATATTTATACTACTTCTCCTGCAGAGGCTACTGTGCCTTGTTAAGTTACACGTGCCGGTAGTAAGACTACGACCCAGGTAGCACGTTCACATTTTCCACAACCACCTTTTCCCGGCAGTGGTCCTCACATCTGGAAATAAAACCATTTCTGCGTATCTCGGGACTCAAGAAACGCTTCGAGTAATTATTGCACCAGGCATTGTGGAAACAGAGGCTTTGAAAAATGAACTCAACTAGTTAGTTATTTAGTATTCTTGCCCAAGAAGGCAGCCAAGTAGTGATCTATCCCCCTCAAATATGGTCGGGTCCAAAGCCATCAAGCATTATGTGGCGAAATATTATAGAGCGTGGCTGATGCGTAATGAAACATTTAACATAAGTCTGTTGTCTGGTCAGACCAGAACGTTCACGCCCATCGGGAAAAGATTGACATCTAGATTTAACCAGAAAAAAGAAAGTAAAGAAACCCATGTTGTGCCTTTCTCCTTAATCTTTCCTTCCAAGATAATAAATTTAAGAGGTGAATGACTACTTCTTAGAGAATTCCAAAGCCAATCACTGCATCATATGGCGATATATTATTGACG